AGTACAAGCCAGGATGGGCAATATTCAGTCTAGTACCAGTGACAATTTAAAAAGTGTGGTATCTCATGAGCCCTTCAGGATATAAATAGGTGCTACATGCTAAAGGGAAGGTTCCCTAACTGATGTGCAATATATGAGATTACACTCACTTCTGGCCCTGGAATGGACTAAGACATTGGACTTTGAAATCATGATGTTTGTATGTGTACCTATTTTAAGTACTTTGGTAAAGATTTTAAAATTGAATATTCATAATTTTTTTTCTTTCAGAGGACTGTGTGATTGGACTGATGGGCCTAATTCTCATTTACACTAAGCTCTCCTTACATCTCACCAGTAGTGTAAAGTGGCCTTGGTGTACATGAGAATTACACCCATAGTAACTATGTCTCCTGGCTTTACAGGCAGATGGATTTGAAAAATATAGCCCCATTAAAATTCAAAACTCTCTAAAATATTTTCAGAATAGCTTCTTTTCTAATGGTATATGCAGAACACACCGTAGTATAGAATAAATGTTTAACTGGCCGTTGTGTGTAATGACCTCATTTGGAGCATACAGCATCTTCCATGCATGCTGATAAAACCATTACACCACACCATCACAGTATACATAACTATGTCAAAATAATAAACATTTACATAGTGCCATGATTTGGCACAGTGCTTTGGAGATTTTTTAAAAGGACATGGTTTCTGCTCTGGAACGGTTCACACTGGTAGGTCACAATTCTGCAAATTCTTATGCACATTCCATGTGAGTTATCCCATTGAGTGTGTGTGTGTGTGTGTGTGTGTGTGTGTGTGTGTTGCTGGTTCTAATTCAGTAGTAACTAAATTGGTGATCTCAGTTCAGTTCTACTAGTCAAGAATTTGCATGAAAAAAAAAACCCACTGCAAACTTATTAGGATCTTGGATGACAATCTGCAGGGGGGTCAATAAATAAATGCCCCTCACCAACCTAGGTTTGTGGCAGGTGGATGGAGTAGTCTGGACAGACAGAGGCTTGCACTGTTGTTGTACTGGTGTTAAGAGAGAACCAGACAAATTCAGTTTCCAATACAGCAACTTTCATGTGTACTTTAAAAATGCACAACAAATTAATTGGAAAATTCATTAAAAAAAATGATAATGTTCCCCACTTCCCAACCAACCCTCTGGGTCCAATATATATATTTATCAGGATATGCACTCCTGAGAATATTTGCTCTACTTCTTACTAATACATTTTAGAGCAGAAAATAAATGCAACATATTAGGGTTAGGTGTCCAAATCTCATTGATTTTCTATGGGAGTAGGGTCTCGAACTTGCTTGGATCCTTTTGGAAAATCCTACCTGTAATTTATTTATCGTGACACTCACTGTGGTCAATTCTTTCTTAAATCCTTTTCTGAAAAACCTATGGAAAATATTGAATCCAAGTATCTTCCACGTCTCTTTATGGCCCGAATAAACTGAAGAAAGGCAGTTTTAATCTGGAAGCTATTCCACATTAGCTACACTGGGCAATTGCCCTGTGGAGAATCCAGAATACAAGCCTGTTGACAGTCAGATCTGAAGATCTGCACATTTTTAGAGGACAGCAGAATGTCAAGAAGTTAGAAAAATAGGTGTTTCCGTCTGTCCTACTGCCACCCACTGCCTATCACCCATTCCTCCAAAACATTAGAACAAACCAAAACAGACTCTTTGTAAGGGTGGTGGCAGATGCTGACTATAAATAAGTAATATAGCAGCTTTGGAAAGTTTGGAGCAGAAATTCAAGATTCTTTATGAGTCAGGTAACAAAAATCAATAGTGCTAGTATGTGTTTAAATGCAGTATTTTTTTCCTAAAATAGGAGCTTGAATAAAAGCAGCATCAAATACAAAAGCCTTTTCCAAAGGCATATCTCTCGGACAGTCTTCTACTTTAAAACTCAAACATTTGGTCCCAAGACCCCATGCTATGTGCTGTTAACTATTCCTTCCCCTCCTCTTTCACCTGAAGCATGCAATTAGACTGAGGAAGAAAAGGATGTGGATATTATAGTCACTGAGAGCCTTTTTGTACCAATTTGTTCTCAATTCATGGCAAACATGGGGGTTCCTAAATCCAGATCTGTCCTATTCTGTAGTCACTTGAACCTTGTTTGAAGTATATAATAATCTTAAATCCTCATCTGTTGAGACTGGCTTGAAAGAGAAAAGACCGATGTAAAAAAAATTGAACTTTCCACTGATTAAAGAAAGATCAAATAAACTGAGTATCATGAAAGCTGAAGGTTGGCAGTATGATTCAATAAAGCAGGGTACATAATATGCTTTTTATTCCAAATGTCTAATTGCAGCTTCTTAGCTTTATCAGAAGAACAGGAAATCCAGTTAACAGACCTGTTCAGAACAACCAAATGAAAAATGTAATTTGGTTTTATTTGGGAAGTCAGCCATAAAGGCAAGTAAATACTGGTCAGCCTTTGTAAAGGTAACATTTGAGGTTTCCGGTTAAAATATTAACTAGTTATTGTTGCTAATCATTAACTGTTCATTATAATAATGTAATAACAATTTAATTATTATTTCTTTGTAGTTCTTAGAGCACATATTTGTAAAGACAGGTAATTTTGAATGCAAAAAAGACTACCAAAAAGTATATACTGCTAAAATATTGTGTGGACTTTATCATGTTTGCATCATTTATATGAAAAACCAATAGATATACAATTAAATAGTGTAAATAGATAAAAAGAATAAGAAAGGAAATTACCAGCTTCATACACCTAATCTTTCCCGCAGCGAAACAGACCCTTTAATCTCAGGGAAAGGATGACAATTTAAACTAAAATGTGTTGTGGTTTTTTTTTTTAATCAAACTTCAAATGTATAATTAACTGTTTATCATTTAGGAGTTATTGTGTTCTTGGAGGAGCAATTCTACTATGACTTTTCTGGGACAAACTGCATTGAGCAAGGCTGCTATTTGGTGGAATCCATATGCAGAAATCCAGAGAAAAGAGGGATTTTGGAAGCACAACAGTCAAACTAGTCAGAACCCAATTCCCAACCATAATGGAAAAGCTCATAATTTTTTTCTTCTTGACTTTAGCTGAAGCTTATCCTAGTTACTCTTCCTTTGCCAGTTCCTCCACCTTCCTATCTTTACCACTTAACCCTTGTGGTGTAGGGCTTTCCAGGAAGATTAGGAGGATGCTTGTATAAAGCAAATATTTCCACGTTGGTCTGATTTGCCTTGGTGATAAGATGAAGTGGAATCCGTGGTACAGAACTCCCAATACCGAAATTTAAAGTCCCTTCTCTTTTCTATAGACCCTGAAACTACCTGCAGTCTGGTCTTCAATCTTTTATTTACGAGGAGGGAGAAAGGAGAGGGTGTGTGCGTTAGGGGGAATGATTGTTGAAAGGGAGAACCCTGGAAAATACAATATTCTTTCTCCTGAATAGATCAAACAGTCATTTGTCCTGTTTTAAGCAGTAAATCCGGAGTGCTTTGTTATGCTAATGCAGTCTGACATCACTCCACAGATCAAAGCCACTAGGACCCATATAAGCAGGTTCTTTAGGCAAGGAGGGCATAGGCAGAGGCGCAGCTGGCACTGTGCTCATGAGAGACAGACAGACATTAGCCGCTGCATCTCTTCACACAGCCTTTGGCTTGTGTTGCTCTTCCCTTCCCCTCCCCTTCTCTGTCCACCCTTAGCTGAGTTGAACAGCTTTTACCTCCGGCTGACCTCCAGTGTTGGGATCTGTATCTACAGTATTTGGTCTGCTGCTGCAACACTTGGTGTTTGCTGGGAGAAGGGGTTCAGGCGAAGGGGAGCTGGTGCAGGAAAGGTAAGGAAGGCGATTCCGTGTGGTGGAATCGATAGATTAATGTCTAATCCCTCGCCGTTCAGACTGGTCAGGGGACGTGGGTTATTTTTCATTGCTAGGGAGAGGCAGGTTTTGCTCCCTCTCCTTTCAGAAGGCGAAGGGCTTAAGAAATGTTCTTCACATGAAGGAAACAATCCAGAGCTGAGCAAAGCGGACAGGCGGGTCTAGCGGGGATCCTGCCTGGTGTGGGTTTGTTTCCGCGCAGATTACACTGCAGAGCGTTGCAAAGAAAGAAAGAAAGAAAGAAAGAAGAGCTTCGGAGACTAGAAATCTGGGAGAGGAAAAAAACCCTGTGAACATGTTGGTGAAAGTGGCTGCGAATGTTCCAATGTTCAATGTTCCAGAGTCATTCACAAGTGGAGGGCGTGTGTGTGGGTGGGTGTGTTTGCCTGTGGAGTGTGTGTGCAGAGGCGCTAGAACTGGGGGTACAGGTGTGTGGAGGGGGGGCTGTTTGTGTGTTCAGCACACCCGAACTGTTAAGAGATACTCAATGAAGGCGGAAGATACAGAGCAACGCGGTGCCTATCTGGTTTGCCGCTTTCGGGCGTGTGTACCTTTCATGTGCGTGTACACAACACACAGCAGCTCGGCTGGGATGTGTGTGCTCTGTTCTGCAGCCTCTGCAGAGGAGTTTGAACCCCAGGCGCTGGTTGGGACTAATGGGGGCAATAACACTAGAACGCGAACGTCTGGGTGGTTTGTGTGGTGCTAATTGTTACAATCGCTCGCAGCGCCTTGTTTTCTGTCGGGCGAGTTTTCTTCAGCTGGTCTGCAACGTACCCGGGCGAAGCAAACCAGGACTTGCTAGGATAAAACGGGTCGGGTGTAGACAAGAAGTTCCCTGCTGCTAGCTTCATCTGGGACCCGGGGCTCTTCTCCCTTGCAAACAGCCTGTCTGATGGCTTGATAACTGCTCTCCCCCTGGCCAGTTTTCCCTGAATTTGTTCACTTAACCTGTTCCGGAGCTAGAGGCTGGGAATTCGAAGCTAGTCCTACCGGCTGATCCGGAGCTGCGGTCCTGACTGTCCGTATCTGGGCTGGGGGAATTCAGCAGAGCCCTGTGAGTTCTCTCCCTCCCCTTAAGACATTTCACCCTGAACTCTGTGCTGGGAGGCATCTCCACGAGAGACAGATAAGGGGTCTGCAATAGCCCCCAGGCCGCCCCCTGCAGGGTCAGGATTCGAGGGTGGCTGTTTCCAGAAGGCCATTGTTTTGTTTTTTAAGATAAAAGACCCCAAACCAAAGACTCCGCGGTGCAGACGGAGGAGACTAGCCGAGGGTTTCGCTTCTAGCGCCGCTTTCCCGGGAGCAGTGTCACGGGGACGGGGGTTCTGACCCACCACGGGGACACCCCGAATGGACGCGCAAAATGCGCTGCGAATCCCCTCCGGGGAGAACGCGCATGTTCAAAGGGCTTTCCAAAGTGGAGCCCTCTCGGAGGGGATTAAAGAGCTGACCCTTGAAGGGAGCTTCAGGCAGGCTCAGAGCAGGGGGTCAGGCATCCATCGACTGATTAACACCCACGGGGCACGGTCCTTCCTCCTATGAAATGCCCTTGACCACCGTTTGCAGGAGTGATTGGGAATACTGGGTCTTCCAGGTTTTGGGCGGCTCACTGAGACACCTTCAAGAGGCCTGGTGAGAAAGAGGACTGGTGCTCAGTCGTTACTGAAAATCAGACACTCCCCCCCTCACACACACACTGTGTTTAATGCGCCTAATTTGGGCACCTAAAGTCACTAGCTGCTTTTGAAATCTTGCGCGTTGACTTTCAGAGGAGCAGAGTCTGGCCTTCATTTGGCACACTTGCGAAAAACACTGAAGGTTAAGAAGAAAAGAAGACCCTAAAGAATGAGTGATGGGAAAGAATCCCTACTGGTTTATTACTACCACTCTTTCAGGGAGCAGGGCTAGCCCCTGTCAGACAGGGAGGGCTCTTGTAAGAACTTAGGAGTCCGGGTGCCTTGCTTGTTTCATAAAAAGCAAAGCACAGAGGATCCTTGACATCTTTTGTTTGCTGCCGGAGGCTCCCTTGAGACAATTCCGATTGTAATGTTTGCTCTGAGTGGCCGGTTTTTCCGTGCGCTCCAGTGTTTGTGTATTGGGGAGAAGCAAGAAGCAAAGTTAATGAGGTGAGAATGAAAGCAGAAGGGAAGGAACAAAACACAGTTGTTTGTAACAGATCAGACAGACTGAAACATCTGCAGAGCCAGGGCACCTCCATTGATCAATACATGTTTGTTTAATGTGTCTTTTTCAGAAAGTCAGTCTATCTATCTATCTGTCTGTCTATCTAAAAGAAGAGGATTAGCTAAAACATAGATCTGAGATTTGTGTTTCTTCTCTCCCCAAACAGATTTACAGAGTGTGGGGTGGGGAAGGAACTAAAACAGAGAATGAAGTTCTTGCCATATGCTGGGTTAACCAGAAACATACAGTCAGGCTATAACTCAAGTCATAATTCAAGCCATACATTTTGTCTGTCTATTGACTGTAAAGGGTCTATCAAGAATTGGGGGTGGGGAGAGGGAATCTGAACTTATTCATGATTCATAAACCACTCCTTTGCAATTTGGATGATAAATTTCTCTGTCACCAGACCTCACAACACTTGGGTGTTAACCGTATCTTTGTGCTTTCTCCCTGATTCCAGGTTGCTGTGCTCCAAAAAGGAACAACACCAAACTGAAAGAAGAAATACATTGTTCAGAAAGTTGGGAAGATCCCTTTTAAAAAGTTGATTTGCTTCTGAAAGTGGAAAAATGAAGCTGAGTCTTGCAATATTTCTGTCTTTCATTTTACAGACTGGGATTTGCTCTGGAATAAAATGGCTGTAAGTATCTATCTTTCTACATTTCTTAAAAAAAATCTTGTCCTATTTGCCGTTGTATTACTGGCATACAGCTTCAAGTATTGCACTAGTGGCTTTAGATGTATTGCAAAGACATTTCAAGACTGATACAGCATTTCTTAGGGCACCGAAAGTCCCACTAATTTCAAGAAATGCAGAATCAGATCCAGTACAACAATATATATATTCTTTATTTCTAAATTGTAAATCCTTTGAGTCCAATTCTTGTTTACACTAAAGGAGGAACTGGACTAGCCTGATCCACCTATTGAAGCATTTAATGTCAGGTTTAAA